CCATCCATCCATCCATCCATCCATCCATTGTTCGTTCGTTCATGTACTGTTCATTCATTCATTTTTTCTATAATCAATTGTAAATCATCATATTATTCCTCAGGAAGAGGAGGAGGGTGTCAAGATGGCCGTGTCTAATTTTGTGCCAACAATAAACGAAGCAGCAACGACATACAAAGGTTTGTCTAGTGTACAGATAACTATCTTATCCTATTGACCTTATGTAGGCTTATTATATTCTAACCTTTCTTCCTTTTCGCAGACGTGTGGCAATTCCGTGATGAAGTGGGAAATTTTGAACAGAGGTTTGATGCAGAGCTCGTGAAAGAAGCCAAGAGGTGAGTGACGTGGTGTATAGAAGATGACTGTGTCGACCATCCAGCCTGAATGATTGGTTCAATTTTAAGTCTAGTTGTGGCTAGTTGTACAAGCGTAGGAAGGGGGCCACGTGTTCACTCAAAACTGTTTGCTCTCGGCGCCAAAATTTAATTAATTCATGCGGGATTCCTGTGGATTTGGCGGGAAAATAGTTCATTGCCCTCCTATAATCGAGACCTCGCCTACGCCCCTGGTTAGTTGTATGATCGTACGTTATTCGACTCGTACACAACTAGATAAGTCTCGAGCTGTAATATTTTTTTGCTATGATCAAGTTATTATTATTTTATTATATTACTAAATCATTAATGTTCATATTTGTTTTGACTAATGTTCATATTTTTTTCACTATTAAATGTATCATATTTTTTTGTTTCCACCATTAATGAAGGATCGAAGTTGAAACTGAAATCAGACAGCAAGTAGATGAACTGATGAAACAAGAACTAAAAAACCTAAAAATGGTAAACTAGAATTGTCTTTGAACGTGCTATAATGTTATTCACCTGTTGATAACTTGACCGTTTCGTTGCTAATAGGCTGTAGATAGAGACAAGGGAGGGAAAAAAGGGAAGAAAGGCAAGAAAAGTGGCAAGAAAAGTGGCAAGAAGGTAAGCTATATCACATCCACATCCAAGTGATTATCGACCTCGTTGAAACGCTTCTTACAGCATAGATTCTTTAATATTCACAGAAAAAGAAAAAGAGCGGGAAAAAGAGTGGGAAGAAAGGAAAAAAGAAAAAGAAGGAAAAGGATCTGACATCTGACAGGTAAATTAGTATTTATATTACTTTTATTATTCAATACTTTTATTTGACCGTAATGTTTCCCACTGCAGACCAACTGTCATTCCCTTTAGTACTATTACTTTGTTTGCTGTAGCCAATTTTCTTGGCAACGTTCAATACACTTCAGTACCTTTGGTGTTTTAAGTGTCGAACTAACATTGGTGGGTTGTTTGACAGGACGATCGAGTCGTTATACGAAGAGCTAGTTACTGAAGGTATTCTCGTACGACCACCCAAGGTTCATCTACGTGACTTCACAGGAGAGTACAGTTTCCTGGGTACTACACTACGACAAGCCAACATAGAACCCATGCCATCACTGTCAGATGTTCGTCGTGTCATAACCGAGTTTACTATCTTACCTCTTGGTAAGTTGTTTTGATATCAGGTCGTCTTTTTAGCTCAAATAAGGCCAAGGCAGGGGCGGATCCAGGAATTTGTTCAGGAAGGAGGGGTGCAGCACACATAGTTAACCCAGGGAGGGGTGCACCCCTTAGAATCAAAGGGAAAAAACATTATTTTGTATTGGTTAAGTCGAACCAGGGAGGGGTGTGCACCCCTCCCCTGCATCCGCCACTGCAAGATGCACACATGATAAATGCGTGAACGACATGTCGTGGTCTTAGAACCAGTGGTTTCATGAAGGAAGGTAGAGTGACCCTCCTATCAGAGACAAGTCGACTTTTTTGCGGCCCGTGAAGTAACTCTGAAGGCCGCGCCTTGTTTGATAAATCTTTCCGGTGATCAAAGGCTACACGTTGTAAGGCATTGAGCTTGTTGTTGTTAGATAGAATAAATCTGTAATTATTATTTTTTCCTTGCCGCAGGATCACAAGCTGTCCATGAGAAATCCCCACACTTCAAGTCAATGCTTATCGCTGGTCCTCGTGGTGTGGGCAAAAAGATGCTGATCCACTGTATCTGTACAGAGACAGGAGCCAACATGTTTGATTTAACTGCCGCTAATATTGCTGGAAAATACCCTGGTAAAGCTGGTCTTGCTATGTTGCTGCACATGGTCTTCAAGGTAAACATTAACCCCGTCAAGGCACAGGGCGGCTTCTTGACAAGCATACGCGGTACTAATACACAAAACTTACTTGTTACGACCTCTAATGTTACTCCCCATTATTTTGGTATAGCCAGTTAAAGTGCATACCATATATCCATGAAAAAGTTAACTAACGTAATTGCACAAATTAGTACAAAGTTTTGTAGGTCAACGGTCTACTGAGGTCTACTGAACTTAGACTTAATAGAAATCTTAGAGTGCATACCATATATCAGTGAAAAAGTTAACTAACAAAATTGTACAAATTAGTGCAAAGTTTTGTAGGTCTATCTACTGTCTACTGAGGTGTATTGAACTTGTTACAAAGTTTTTCCACGGATATATGGTAATAATTTAATCCATTCAGTACGGGTGATACGGTAACAGTAATATAAGAACACTTTTACAGATTGAACTTGCTATCTGCTCGAAATACCAGTTGAACGCGTACACGTAAATGAGTTTTTTCCAAATCACCTTGGATACCGCACCATACTTTTGGATCAATCCATCCCGAATACATGTACGTATTGCGGTCAGAAAAAAACCCGCGCTAGAAGGAGGTAGCTCGATCATATTTATATCAACTTTGTTTTACATTTGTAGGTCGCCCGTCAGCTTCAGCCATCTGTTGTCTACATTGGAGATGCAGAAAGAACATTCGTCAAGAAAGTACCCAAGACAGACAAAGTAAGGGCATGACACTGCTCGTTTATAGAGGTGTGGATTATCACTTGTATTAATGACATTTCTGATAACATCCTATTTAGACTGACCCAAAACGTCTTAAGAAAGACTTGCCCAAGATCCTCAAGACTCTGAAACCAGAAGATCGCGTGATGATTATAGGCACATCTCGACAACCTTTTGATATCCTTTAATACTCTCCTTACTCAACGATTAATGCTGCTCTTATTTACCTTCTTTGAAGTATTGACAAAAATAATTTTCTTGCATTTTGTTCCTTAACATTGTTTACATGCTGAAGTGAAGCCATTCTGTTCTGCCTTCCAAAAGATCATTCTTGTCCCTAGACCCGATTACGCATCCAGATATCGTAAGTACCTACCATTACCAGGCAGGGTTGGTACGCCCTTCTGCTAGCGCAGCTCATACAGCAATACAAATAGTCCGTAACGGTGTATACTATATATATAGTATATATCGTCAGAAACAGATGATGAAGGAGGTGGCTAGCCAACTCCCTTTTGCTCGAATTCCTGGATCCGCTACTGATCGTGTTGTGCCTAACTCTAAATGTTTAATCTGTAAAGGTTGCCCATCACTACAAATATTAATTAGTAGGAAGCCTAGGAGTTACAAGGGGCATAGGAAACATCAGTTAAAATCATTTATCATATCACGCGCGATTATTATATATACGTTGTGTACGTAACTAAAGTATGCCATTATTCGACAGTCCTGTGGAGAACCCTCATCTCTAGGTATGCTGGTCGCATTAGTGATTCCATGGATCTCAGCTCACTGGCTAAAATAACAGATGGATATACACCAGGTCACATGGTACAAGCATTACAACAAGTATTGACTGACAGGAGAATACAACAGGTACAACCCATGCTATTAGCTGTTTCCAAATCAAAGTGTAATACTAAATAGAAGTCCTATACTTTTGTGTGTCTGTTTGTAGCTGTCCAAGCGCCCTCTGGTAGCTGCTGAATTCGTGTCCCCCCTGGCCAGGATAGACCCTATTTACAAGGAAGAAGAAGAAGCTTTCAAGGTTAGTTCGGCTGTCTCCTTTTTTTAAGGTGGAAGGGCGGGTCTTGCTTTTTATGTAATCCATGTTAGATCATGACCATCTTGTTAATGTGTGTATTTAGACTTGGTACGGCAAGACTCCTCTGGGGAAGAAACGAGCCAAAGCAGCAGCTGGTGATGACGATGGGGACAAGAAAGGAAAGAAAGGGAAAAAGGGAAAGAAAAGTGGCAAGAAAAAAAAGAAGTAAAGAGAAAAGAAATCCCACTTGAAGCAGCTTTTCATCCTATTGTTAGAACTTTTGTAAATATTTATGTCATTGCACATTTTCATAAATAAACTGTTGTTCGATCCACTTACTCTTATTTATCATCCTTGCTATCACTCTATAGAGTACCCTTATGCTTCTTACTCAATAGTGCGATGGGCCAAAGAAAGAGGAAAAATTTGGCTTTGCCCCAAATCGATTTCTCCTGCACAAGTTTTTCACTACACAGAGGGCATTGGACTTCTTATTAAACAGAAAGTTGTACAATTTATCTGTATATTTAACAAGTCATTTTTCTCTCGTTTTTCGAGCCCTTGGAGGGGTATAATTACACAACTACTGTGCCTACAACATTACTACCCAAAACCAACCCAAAAAAAACATAATCACCAATACTATTACTGCCGTTTGAGTTTTACTTCATGTGTCATTGTCTTGTTTTTGGTCTATATTAGATAAGATAATCACAACTGATAGATAGAATGCCTACATGAAAATCTGAGTTTAAGCAAGCTACAAGTGAATATAGATGGTTTCCTTTGTCTTAGTGACCCTTTATGGGTGTGGTCTATTACCCCTGTCTTAAGTATCTTAGTACAATATTGATCAGTCCATACATAAGTGGTGGTCTAAGCCAGAATCGCTTTGACTTTCTTCACAATGCTACTGGCAGAGATGCCATACATTTCCAGGAGGGCTGTAGAAGGTCCACTTTGAGGCACACGAGGTACAGCCATACGATGCACTTTGAATTCACCTAATTCAGCTACAGCAGAACAAATGGCTTCTCCAATACCACCTGAAGAAAACAAATTCATTTGGTAAAGTTCATGCAGCACATGGCATATTGAACTATTTACATGGTGTTATCAATCAAAACAAGCAGTCAGGTTTTAGTCCTGCTGGGCTAGGTGTTGTTTATGAGTAGAGTTCTCTCCTGTGCTTCAAGGGTTTTTTCTCCGGGTTCTACTGTTTTTCCTCCCTCCACAAAAAAAAAACAACTTCTAAATTCTAACTCAATCTATTGCCCGCCTTATCAATGGGTTGAAAAACCTGTTAGGCATAGTACGCTATCCACCCAGAGGTGGTAAATGCATTAGACTCTAATAAATGAAGCCTCCTACACAGATGTTCTCATTGTGTGACAGACCCAAAGAACGTCTGCATAGGAGGCTACAATAAATGTAGTAAAAGGAAAGAAAGAAATGAACAGAAAATAGTCAAATGCTTTGCCACAGCAAACCCTCTAACCTTCCATATCTGACATGTTATGATATCATTTCTGCTACATGGATTTCTCAACATTACATTTATTTTATAGTCATACTGTACTACTTGTCCATTATTCCAACACTAACCTTCATAGTAATGGTCCTCAACAGTAACAATTCTACCACCTACAGCTCTGCCATGCTCAATCAACCCTTCCTTATCAATAGGTTTGACAGTGAACAGATCCATCACCCTGATATGGATGTTCTCTTTAGCCAGCTGTTCTGCAGCACTCAGTGCTTCATGTAAAGTCACACCTCCTCCAACAACAAGAACCTTGTCCTTCTCATTTTGATGCACCACCTACAGTACAAGTAGATACATTCAAGCACTGTTCAGATTCAATAAAATGGAACTGGTGGAAATATTTAGAAGTATGCAGCACTTATCCCTTACACAGCAGCTTTTAAATCTTCAATTATCAGGTTAATCTTTTAAGTGTGCACAATTGTTACTCTCAAGTACATACCTTAGCCTTGCCAATCTCAAACGTCTCGTCATTATTATAAATAACATGAGTAGCAGGTCTAGATGAGCGAATAAATGTCATGTATTTATAATTGGCTGCTAACTCAACAGATCTTTCACAGGCAACAGCATCAGATGGATAGAACACTACACAGTGAGGAATACTACGGAACATAGACAAGTCTTCTAGAGCCATCTGTGAAGCACCATCCTCTCCTGTACATCAAAAAATATTATGATTATATATAAACATCCTCAGATGGGTAGAACACTACACAGTGAGGAATACTACGGAACATAGACAAGTCTTCTAGAGCCATCTGCAAAGCACCATCCTCTCCTGTACATCAAAAAATTTTATGTAGAAAAATATACATCCTGAGTATTAAATTTAAATGTTCAAAATTAAAATTAATGCAAGTCCTTAATCGTACCAGAAGCAAATCTTGGAAGATTCATAAAGTGCTTTTGGGAACTTACCGATTGAACAGCCCACATGAGAGCCACAGAAGTTGACAGAGGAATGGGAGATGCCAGCCATACGAATCTGATCATAGCCACGTGACAAGAAGCAAGCAAAGGTACTAACAAATGGAATAGTTCGAGCACGTGTAGCACAGCCCACACCAACACCAACCATGTTCTGCTCAGCAATAAAACATTCAATAAAGCGGTCTGGGAATGCTTTCTTGAAGGTCTGAGAAAAGGTGGAGTTCTTAACATCACAGTCTAGGGCCACCACACGGTCACATGTCTCACCAATTTTAGCCAGTCCAGTTCCATAAGCATTACGAGTTGCAACCTAAGAAGAAAAACAATAATTAACAGATAGGTAAGTATATAAAAAAAAACTTATCCCTTTGAGCATATATCTCTAATTTAACTTGCACTATTTTCTTTATTATGTATTTCCAGGATAATAAATCATTTATTATGTGCACTTGTTTGGTAGTTGCTGTAGGTGCCTCCTCCCAGCCAAAGATATCAAAAATTTAAACGGTAACAAATAATTGTTTTTGATTGACAGCAAAAATAAAATCAGTTTGCAATGACCAAGTTCGTACTTCAAGTTTGTTTAATATTGAATACTGCTATAATACCATACACAGGGCTTAAAATAATGGCCAATCATTGCTGGCTGTTATCACAGGCCAAATTGGTTTATTTCATTTCTGGCTCAACGTTACTGGCAAACAAAGATTTGACCAGACAATTCCCAGATCTGGCCAGACATTGTCTGATATCCAGCCATTATTTTAAGCCCTGCATACACAAAACATTCTAAGTTGAATTCAACATATAGACAATTTTTTCTTTACCTTGTCTCCAATCTTATAGTTGGGTGGCTGTGATAGTTTTACTGGTTCATCTTTGATCTCTGGGACAGTAGCTTCAACAGCGCCAGGCCTCAAGTCATGTTTAAAGCTGTTTATTTGTTTTTCAAGGTGAGCAATAATTTCAACACCCTTGCTGCCAAGAGGTTTGCCATGGAAGTTCTCCTTGTCCTCAACATCTGTTGTACAAAGATATATATACATTATTGATAAAACTTGGGATTGACTTGCCTTTCTCTACAAAAAAAGTGCCCCAGAGTAGAGCATCCATCTCTTACTGACCTGGRAATCCTCTTCCTTTGTAAGTCTTGGCTAGGATACATGTAGGGCGATCCTTTGAGATCTCTGCTTCATAAAATGCACGGCACAAAGCTTCAATGTCATGTCCATCTGCAACTATTGTATTCCAACTGAGAATAACATGACAGAAACAATTAATAATGTTATCCAGCACCTGTTCCGTAGCACAGAAATCTTCAAGGGTTTTTCTCTGGGTACTTTGGTTTTCCTCCCTCCACAAAATTCAATACTCTTAATTTCCAATTCCCTTGTGAAACAGGGGCCACAGGTTTGTTAGGCACTGGCTAAAAAAACAAGGACTTGAAGAACAAAGAAATTGTAGAGGTAGACACAAGAAAACTTTCCTTCCTTCATTCCTGTCATTCCCTTGAGTGTTATTTATTTTGCTTTTTATACCAACAATGCTTGAGTAGATGCACTAGTAAAGATGTGACTTGACAAGCAAATGATAGTTTAAAAGCCAGACCTACCCAAATGCCTCGGCTCTTTTCCTGTATGTTTCCATGTCATGTTCCAGAGAGGTGGGCTGACTCTGTCCAAGACGGTTCACATCAAAAACAGCAACCAAATTGTCAAGCTTGTAGTAGCTGGCAAAATGCATGGCTTCCCAAACAGATCCTTCAGCACTTTCACCATCACCCAATACACAGAACACACGATAGCTGATAACAAGACAAGGAAAAGAGTTCTTATACAAATGAGCATATTCAAGGTAACCAAGAAGTAAAGGAGAAAATTAGAAAAGGCTAGATGGAATTGAACTGTACCTGGACTTATCAAAATGTTTTGCAGTGTAGGCCATCCCACAGGCACAGCTCAGCCCCTGGCCAAGAGACCCAGTAGCAACATCCACAAATGATTGTCTCTCCTTTTGTAAACATACACAGAAATATCTTAGAACTGGTTATAAATACTGACCACAACCATATTACCAATAATTTAAAGGGCTTGATCTCAGAGCATTGGTTTTTAATAAACAATTTAGGCACACATTATAAAAACGTAAGTAAAAATCTGTTGTGTATTCTGGCCTGGGTTGAGTCTAATCAAGGCATATATATCAGGTATGATAAAAAAAGTAGACTGTATCCAATCACATCAAGCTCTGCCTAGGGGAGAGGTGGTATCTACTGCATTATTGGCATTTAAATTTGTAAGCAAAGGCTGCATCCCTTCTTAAAACAAAAATCCTGTATGGTGCATCCCCCTTGCCCCCCTCCCCACCCCTGCTACTACATCACAGCACACACTTACAGGGACAGGGTGTCCTTCAAGTTCTGAGTCAATCTTTCTCAATGTCATCAGACGTTCTTCAGGGAAAAGACCAGCTTCAGCCCAGGCAGCATACAGAACAGGAGCAGCATGACCCTTAAAACAACAACAATATATAACGGTGAATATCACAAACTCTTCRATTCTTGTTCCAGGCACCTGAAGTATAATCACAAAATTGTACAGTCTTCTCACCTTAGAAAGCACAAATCTGTCATTTGATGGATCAGCAGGGTCAGTAGCTGAAAATAAGGAATTATATACCACTACCATTAATAATAACTAATAATTATTTTATTTATCAAAAAGTTGGACATTTTCTTGGAACCAACCAATCAGCCAATCAAATGCAACCATTGTCACATCTTATCATAGTGATTACCCTGGAAACATTAGGAACTAGATGTTCAAACTGCTAAATGTATGAGCAGGGTTTTCATTAAGTTTCAAAATGACAGGTGAAGATCATGAACTGCCCGAGGGTCCTGGGGTCCAACTGAACATTCTACTAATTACTAAACTATCAATGGTAATTTAAACTGAAGAATTTGCTCAGTTACTGGAATATTCCTTGATCCCCAACCCTTTATGAAAGCCCTGTATCATCCTACTACAAAATAATAAATCAAATAAATTCAACTAAGGAGCAAAGCACTTCATTCTGTTATAATATTACAATAATTAGTTATGCATTATAGTTAACACTTGAGTATTGATATACTTTAAATCGATAAGTTATTTTCATAAATTAATGACTAATAAATAGTATTGGCAAACTTCATACTAATGAGGGGCAAATAGTTAAAAAGTAAATGTAAAAAGGCATTACTATTGATCAAAAAGCATTTGTATTGTTCTTGTAAATATTCAATATTTAATACTTGTTATGTCTATGTACGAGAATGTACAAATATTAGACATGCTTAACTGGGCAGAAATAATGAAATTCCAAAAAAATGCTTTGTCACTGTTAAATGCTAGAAGACTGTGAACTCGTTCACGAAAGGCAAAATCTACAGTGATTTTGCAATAATTTTGGCCAGCTTGCCCTGGTTGGGTCCAATCTTCCTGGATAAATATAAGTCATTCGCTTCGCTCGTTAGTTCGTTTTAATGAACTTTAACTTATTTGTGCCACAAAATCTGCTGATATGATGTCTTTAAGAACTCCAAAAAAACTTCATTGATACAATCTAGTTTATCTAAAATTGTGGCTCAAATGCACTCGAAAATTTGTCATAGCTCTATTAAATGATCTTTTGACTGCAAATAGTCCAGCCATTTTGACAGTAAAGCTTATTAAAGTGTGACTTCAGCAAGGTGTTCAGATAGATCGATTACTACCAGTATTCTCACCTTTATACTTCATGGTATTGAAAAACAGCACTGACATGATCTCAGCCATAGAAGCACATGATGTTGGATGGCTGAAGAATAAAGAAAAACAGTAAAAAACGATAGGCAAACAAGACACACGTTCACCACAAACGACAACCAGAGTTAAACCACTCCACTCACCCAGAATTAGCTGCATTTGTAGACTTAATGCTGTTAATTCTCAGCTTATTAGCTATGTCTTTCAATGCCTGGACCTTCTTTTGGTCGGGGCGATGATATTCAGTCATTCTTAGAGTTGAAAAGTAGAGAGAAACTTGGAGAAAAGTTGAAGATGATGATGAAGACCTGCAAAAAACTACTGCACACCACGAGAAGAACAGCAGGGATCCCGATACCACGTGAGGACCGACACACTTGATTGGTTGGTTCGGAAAGGGACGGACAGACAGACAGACGACTCCAATACCTATGGATTTTTATCTATATACTATACACTAATATTTCCAATATATAATAACTCTCTCATTCCCTAATGGTCGTACATGTATGATGTCCCTTAACGATCCACGGTCTAATGATTTGTTTATCATTTTTTATCAATCTTCGAAGAACAGCTAGTAAGCGAAACGCACAAAAAAAAATTAGCAAGGGTAGTGTAAAAGACAAATAACTCCGAGGTTCCAAACCCAAATCCAAATTTTTGAAGAAAATCAGGCCCGTAGCTAGGGGGGGTGCAGGGGGTGTGTTCGCCCCCCCCCTACCCCCCACGCGAGCTAAAGGTCCGCTTTTTAAGCAAGTGAGATTTGGGCTGGTATGATATTTTCAAGTAAAACTAAGTAAAAAAATCAATTTTACTTTAATAATTTATCTATACCTATGCGTCCTATGGGACTTTTAAAAAATAAAGTATATGGTTGGTCCACTTTTTGTAAATTAGCACCCCCCAACAAAAATCCTAGCTACGGGCTGAAAATTATCTTAGGTAGTTAAAGAAAAGGGGAGAGAAGGGAGTTACAGAAAGGGGAAAAGGATGGAAGGAAATGACGGGGGTAGGAGGAGTGGACTAGAAAAATATTTCAATCAGCTTTTAAAAAATGAAAAAATCAGGCTAGAGTGCCAACCATATATCCGTGAACCTTTGTGAGAAATGGGTTGTAAGCTCAGTAGACCTCAAAACTTTTCACTAATTTGTAATAATTTGTTTGTTAACGTTTTACGGTATTATTTTTATTATCTATTGGATGATTATTTCTATAGAAGGTGACAATATCGGTCGTGTTTTTTTTTTTTGTTTTTGTTTTTTGTTTTTGCTTACACAGCGCTAGCCTTGATTGGTGTCCTAGACCACTACTGCTAACCAAACTATTATTTATTATATTTGTTTAACGTTTATTTTGTAAAATCATGTACACAAAACATGCAACTACTTTCGTCCTGTTAAGTGTGACGTCAATTGATTATATTAGGATTCGGCGGGATTTATTGTTGAAATTCTGTTTGTTGGAGGCGACGATAAATTTTTTTAATCAATTTTTACGCCATTACTTTCACAGTGGGTTTTCGTTTTTAATTTTGCAAAACCGGAAATGTGTCACATTTAACAGCTTTATCTAGTCTTCTATCTATATTCTACAGCATCTTTTTTTTTTTTTTTTTTTTGCCACAATCTCGTACCCAGAACCCTTATTTTGTGGAGCATGCGTAGTAAGAAATAACGAGAGCTCTGGCCAGATTGGTCTGTATGCAGATGAAGTATATATGGACAACACATGCGCAGTTCTGGTTAAAGCCTCTGCGGTGTCATCTGTTAGCTCTCACATTTACAATACTTGGTTTACACTGTAGAAACACAAGATAAACACATATTAATAAAACTACACTTGTTTATATTGCGCAAATATCAACATGTTTTTTTCAATTGCGCATTACAGTCAAATTTTATGGGTGTTTGTTTGGTCGACAATCATGCAGGCCATTACATATAAACTGGAGTGCATGTTAGGTCATACCGGCAATGTTGGTTGACGTTAACAAAGCATTTCTCATTAACTTCTCTTGTTGTATTAAACAACATGGCGGCTGTCGTATTGTTATTTACATCTCATGGGATTTTAAGTCATGTGCTGGTTGCACCCCAAGAATTAATACACTACTGATCTCGGCCATTGTAAAAATACATGTTTATTAATCCCTTGTAAAAATATGCTTCGTAAACAAAACAAAACGGAAAGTCGATTAGTAGTGGATGACAAATAACTTCACGTTTGAAAAAACCTGAATTCTAAAATGCTCACGTGACCTATTGGACAAAATATCTCCTTAACAATAAGTGATAACCAAGTTTTCCAAAGGACAATTTTTAAGGCCTTGAAGTAAAGACGTCTATTTAAGGGTATTAATTTGTCCCATGCATTCAAACTCGCCACCATATTTCTCAAAAGAGGAATAACGAAATCCCTTAATACATTTAAATTGGTCACGTGATCATTCTTAACTCAATTCAATGATTATATATTAAGGCTCAAAATCAGCCCGAGATCCATCGATCCAATTAGTTTTCATCAGAATTCGATGAGTTTTGGCAATGAGAAATAAAATCTTTTCGTGAGATCAAGGGCTCAACACACTTGAGTACAGCTGTCAGGCTGATTCGAGAGACAGTACGATATTCTCTTGTGTGGTCTCGTGCGCTAGCAATGCCAGGATAACAACTGCCCCATTTCACATTCAGTCCTCATCTTAGGGGTGAGGTCGAACAAAACTCAACTTATATTTTTAAATTAACACCAGGGGACTCAAGACCCGCGGAGAAAGCACTTAAGGAGATGGAAGACTGAAGCGAACCGTTGTGCTGACATTAACACCCGTATTCGGTTATGTAAAACAGAACGAAAATACTCGTTAACCGAACGCAGAAGATATGGATACCATAAAGAAATGTGGTGTGGATTAATAAGTAACTTTTTGAGATAATCTGGCGTTTTAACACACAAACGCCTACTTGTTAATAAATTAATAAATGAGTTTTCAAGCAAACCTCAAATCGCTGGCTTAAGTAGGTATGTTACTAATGTACTTACTGACTGAATGACTGACTTGTTCACATGAGCCCAATATCTTCTATCGCTTGTCGTGTCTCCTCTGGATGGTTGATAGCGTACAGTTTACGATCATGTTCAGAATTTCCACAGCAGGTTAGATAGAAAGCACAAACGCCGATCAAAAGAGCGAACAAGACTGCTACCAGAATAGCAAAGGCTTCCAAGGTAGGATTTTGATCATGGTGTGCTTGGACCACAGAAAGAGAAGTTGTTCGTATAGTAGAGTTATATAGATATGGCATTTTTAGAAACGTTTGTTTTCAAGCGCGCCGTACAGGCTGTTTGTTGGGTGTTCTGTCTTCGGTCGCTCGGCTACAACTGGAAAGATTAGGAAAGTGAATGAAATCCAACTAATAGCAAGAACGGAAATAAATTGAATCGAGGAGATAATGTGTTGTTTTGTGTCTCGGCATTCGCATAATGCAACGTGAACAAGAGCAGCTAATAGCACGAGCGGAAACCAATGTAGTTGGGGGTACAATTTATTCGTTTATCAAGTTCTATGAACAGGCTAATGTGGTGGAATAGCTTGATTTTTAAATTTCTCCCAAAATAGTTATTTTCTGCCATTATACTTTATTGTTTAGCAGGCTAAGTGGGTGGACTAGGCCAAGTCACCATAGCAACAAGAATCAATTTGGAATATTCGCCTTTGGTAAAGTTTTTTCATTTATCACTGGCGTCTTTGAAAAACGTCTGTCCAAGAGCAAATACCCTGCATAACCTATACTGAAAACTGAAAACCGACTAAGCAAGCAATCTACGTAAAGTTTAGTGTTTTAAACATGGTCGTTCGCGCAATGATTGAAACAGAAGTGAATCCAACAAAACTCTAAATTACAACCAATGCTACTCATATTCGATCTGCAAGAAATCGTAATTCGAAACGCGAGCGCACTTTCACTGGAATATCTCCATATTTTTCAATTTTGGTATCTTTGAATCTATATCAAAATAATAGAACAATCGACTGATCGAAAAAAGCGTACTAGAGTTTGACGTCATAAGTATCCCGGTAAAACTCTTAAGTAATTTCCAACCATTCATCCCTTAACTCATTCACCATAATTTTGCATGTAGCTCGATTCCATTGTTCAAATGAGGCCACAAGCAGTTTGTTTTTCTTCAATTTTTTCTCTCGTTTTTTTTAATATTTCTAAAAATAATGTTAGTCAAAAAAAAAAAAAAAAAAAAAAAAAAAAAAAAATCATTTAGGAAAAGAAACCGCTCGAGTTCTATACTTCTTTAGCTTTTAATATTTTTATTGTTTTTTAAAGTCCATTTCCTTGAGTATAGTCCATGTTATTTTGAAGGATAAAAGTTCAATGAATAACTTACGTAATCTATAGCTGCTAACGAGGTGGTTTTATTTCGAAGTGAGAAAGAATACCATATTCATTGAGATTTTCATCTCTTGGTCGTCTCATTTCCTTCCACGCCTCTTGTCTTGTAAATCTTAAGCATTCTATAATATCCAGATGCAATTTATTCAGAACTGATTTGATCGCACTGATAGCAGTATGTACAAAATGTAGAAGCCCTTGTCACGTACGAGATTACTTTAGTATTTCTTTCTATATTAAAGTAGATCTAGAATATTTTAGTAGGTCTGACTAGCGGTCGTAGAGCACGTACTTTAATCTAAGCGAGCCGTCACCTCTAAGATGGCTTCCTCATAAGGATGAGAAAAAGTAAAAAAGGACGACACCTTAAGACGCCAACGCGACTATGAAAGTGAATATGTCTAATATATTGAACATTTTATTTCCATGTTTAGAAGATTGCATTTATTCTGTGATCGATGGGGCGCCCAGCTGACTTAGTCTTTTGCAGGGGTCTTCATCCCAGCCCCCCAGCCCCCCAGCCCCCCCCTTCCCCGGCTCGTCCTCTGATTTAGAAGCGCATTTATATTAATTATTTTAAGAATTGAAAAGGTACGGAATCCTTTTAACGAGTCATGTAAACTAGTTTTCGCTAAGAAATCTGTCATTTACTAACATCCAAGTCGTAGACGTCCATGTTTCATGTGCGAAGTTGGAAGTATAAAATAAGGAGGAGAATTATTGCAAGATCCAAGGAAAAGGAAAGATCTGTCAGTATCACAACTCATCCTCACTACTAGAATCACTATAATCCTCAGAATGCTTGGGTCCTGTGTAATCGATACAGTGTACTTGTTCACCCTTCAGCATCGCCTCTTCTACGTGAAGTCGAGACAAGAGTGTTCCATAAACAGCACACTGAAGACGTTTAGTAGGAACACCAAACAAATTACATATCTGGAATACAACCGGTAAATTCTGTAGAAACAGATAAACAACAGACATGATTAAAATATTGGTAGAAAATTGTTAAAGTAGTTTTATGTGGTTAAGAGGTCTGCCAACGAATATTATGACACGAAGGGGGAGGGGGGGGGATCTGCAGGTTATCAGCAGTGATGTAGTAAATCCCCACTCCCCACCCCCCTATAAGATATCCCTTAGATCTTACCTCAGCAATAGGAAGAAGAGTCTGTAGTTGATACTGATGTATTGAGACACTCATGCGATGTGATAACCATTCACATATCATAGTGACCATGGGTGTGTACCATAGCTAGAAAAATAACGACAATAAGGTACTGAGAAAAATCAGAGTAGTGTTCAGTAACATTATCGTTGGTCCAAAGTCACAGTCTTCAGAGTCACGGGATAATAAGAAACGTTACTATGGCAACTGTTACCATACCAACTTCTACCATACTGACTATAGTTGCGACATACTGTCGTCATATTGGTTGATTCACAAGACATGCCAGACCAATCACATTGCGTGAAAATTTACTCTCTATCCAATCAAATACACGGAACGGAGCGAACACAGTCACGCCAAGATCACGGCACTGCTAGACCAATCATATTGCTCAAGAAAAATACCATCAATCAAAATTCTAGAAAACATCACGGTTGCGCAAAACCAGCATACGACACCATCGCGCTTTACACAGTCATACGAAAACACTGCTCTAAAAACATACCTTGACAATGTACTTTCTCAGTTGAACTTCGTGTAATTGTTCCATTAACTGTTTCAGGTTTGACTTTAAAAACTTGATAAAGGCTTCGTGTAGCTCAGAACCAGGGTTCTACGAACAAAACAAGTCAGTTTCAATCAGTATTCATCCTTTTGATCTTTATCGGGTGCAGTCAAGGTAGTCTCTCTCACAGCCACTATACGGCTGCCAATGTACTGCCTCTAACTGCTGTGGTCTCTCTTATGTTTTGAGTTTTTCTCCAGTGAGTCCTCTGGCTTCTAAATTCTAATTCAGGACTTATTAATTGGGTTGCTAAACACCCTCGGAATCGGCAAATGCAATGAAGATAGGCGGTAATAAACACTGAATAACTAATATACATACCTTAAGTGCAAAGACAGAAGACAGAATGGAATCCTGATCATATCTTGCCAACTTGGTTAACAAAGCTTCCAGCACAGAGTTGAGCTAATACAGAGATATCAAAGTCAGTACACATGTGCAGGTGGGATCCCTGTGTTATTCTAGTCGTACCTTGTTAGCAATCTCCTGCGCTATTTCCCGTTGTGTTTCCCTTAGGAACGATGACACATCTGAATGATAACGACGCTACAAAATAATCAATAAATACCTTCAGTTGTTAATTTCTATCCGAGATTCATGCATGTTAAACAATGAAATAGAGACTACTATCTGATTTGAACAAGCTAATATTTCGTCAAAAAACGCTTTATTTTGATGAGATTACATCAAGGGGGTGTCAAGGGTGTGTCATGGGGTTGTCAAGGGTGTGTCAAGGGCAGTCAAGGGGAGAGGAGAGAGTAATGATTTGTTGAGGTAAATAAGAGTATTGGTTACCTAGAATAACTAAAAACCTCATCGACCTGGATATGACAATTAAAGGTAATTAGGCTGGGAAATAAATGTAATACGTACTTGTTCACTCTCTGATTCTTCTTGAATACACAAAGTGTGCGACTGGAGAAAAGAACGAACCACACAAGAGATGAGATTAGGGTTAACACTAAGCAGAGGTAACAACTTGGACTCTTTGTAAGTCAAGAAAATGGTGCATTTTGACCTTGATTCAAGTATACATATTTTTCCTTATGCATGTGAGAATCTATCAGGCGGATTTAAGTGGGTAATGGTGAGATGATCGTGTAGCCTTCCTTGCATCCAAGCCCGACAAACTAATTTACATTGAGTGTAATGTCTTCCCAGATCACATGTCATTCCCTTGAAAATTCTCACTCACGGAATGAGTGACAAGTAACCTGATGCACAATACTGCTACGTAATCTATATCAATGACATCATACCTCTTCCTTGGATTGACTGATGACGTTTAACATGACGCAAACGAAGTCTGGAATGACGTAGTTCATGTTAAATCGCGCGTTGTTCATCCATTTTTCTAGCTGTTTTTTCGTTCTGTTCAAATATAATAATTAATAAGTCAAAAAGCCTTTATCTTTCATATCATCAAACATTTTATCCTATTGCTCGGTAAATCTTCAACCACATCCTTACCTTACCTTTTAACACAAGACACCACCATATCAGCTGACATGAGTTTCAGTCGTTTGACAAGATGTGCTTCCATCACCTCATCAGGCCAGTTCAGGTCGGTAACAAACTGTTGTAGTGCACCTAGCTTCCAGAACAGTTCTTCTGATGAATTACAGCCTTTACTAAAATGATAATACCAACTGAGTGAGTTTGTCAGAGCCGGAAAACGATTTACTTAGAAAGACAAATACTAGTACTTAACGCTTAGTTTGGCATTCTCTAGGGTGAAGCAAAGGTCTCAGGTTCGGTTCCTGGACTCGGTATCACATGTGAGTAGAGTTTGTTAGATCTCTCTCTCTCTCTCTCTCTCTCTCTCTCTCTCTCTCTCTCTCTCTCTCTCGATTCCAGTTTTTTCACTCTATTTTCTTCTCCCTACACAAAACCCAACCAAGAGGTCAATACAACTAAAGCCCTCTTGTAGTTTGACACGTGCTGTGGTAACAGACTACTCACCCTACGGCCATCCAGTTCTCCTTTTCAAAGTCCTTGTGCAGAGATTGTGCTATGGATGATTCCATAAGATCAATGTATCGAATGACGAGGGGTGCGAATGTGTCACGAAGATGGGTGTGGAACTTGTTACGACATAATGAAGCTACAGCAATGAAATATAAAGAAAAACAAATAGTTAAAAGGAAAGTCAAAAAGGATGGGAAAAAAGTCTGAAAAACAAAACTTAGTCAAACAAAACTTAGTCAAACAAATGATGAAACAATATGAAAAATGGAAGGATGAAAACAAGAAAGGGAAAATGATATAAGAACTTACGATCACTGCTGAGATACTGGTTGAGAAGCTGGAATAACTGAAAGCTATCCCAGGTATCAGGGGCTTGAACTGCTAAAGCATCATCCATATCAACAGAAAACAGAGACCAGAAGATTTCTTGATGTTCTATCATCAGATCATTGACCAATGCAAACGCCTAAACACAAAAATAAGACTGAACTCATTAAGGTCCTTATCCTCATCTTTACAGTGCTGTAACAGAGTGCTCTTAACAACCTACATCAACCTGTTATTACAGATTTCTTATGAGAAAAAATTCCGTGAACGTGACGGAATTGTGTTTAAGCATTTTCATTGGTTAGGTAGCTATTTCGTGCCCAATAACTGTGTTTAGGCATTTTGATTGGATAGGTAGCTATTTCGTGCCCTATAACTGTGTTTAAGCATTCTGATTGGATAGGTAGCTATTTCGTGCCCTATAACTGTGTTTAACGACTTCGCACAGTGACTGACGATACTGTGGGCTGCGCCATTTGACTGTCATATAGCATTCGATGATAGTGATAGTAATGGATATCGATTACCAGTGATGCTTGATGATGATGATAATGATGATGATGAAGCTGTTGTATAATAATAATGAGTAATGTACACGAAATACTGATGATGAAGATGTATGATGTTGAATGATGTTACTGATGATGATTATCATTGACTATGATGATATCCAAACTGACCATTTTTCCTGTGAATACCCTACTTTACTACTGAATAGATCTATTCCAAAAAAAAGGTGGTGAGGTTCTGTTGCGTGTCATACATGTTGCAAACCAAGATGCATTATGGACGATGTGAATACTATCAGCAGAAAATAACAACAATATGGAATTTTCTGCACAAGTTTTTGGTATAATTTCTCATGTGCTGACGTTATCTACATATAAATATAGTACATTCATGTCAAGCTTCGTAAACAACATGCAGCAAAACCTTCCCCATATAATTCACCTCAGCATGATGCTCTTCGTTTTGTTGAAGTAAATCAATACAAAGTTCAGCCAGACGAACAATGTCATCCAGTCTCTTCTCTGGAGTGTTCTCCTCGGTACTTCCCTCTACATAATACATAAATATATTCACTAAGATTCACAGTTCCCTTTGATTCTACTGGTTCGCCTGGGTAAAAACTTTCAGTTTAACCCATAAGGTGCATTCTGGTCTAGCTTGGGTACTAACAACACTGTATAAATCAAACGAACTAACAGAGACGTAAATGCATGTGCTTAAACTAGACCATCGTATCTGTCCCTGTAGACAAGCTCTATACACGTGAGCAATACTTTCAAGACATATATCTCGTTAAATGGTTGCGATTACATCAAGTTACTACCGAAAACACTGACTATTTTAGTATTGCCTAAACAATGAACGTGCACGTTTTGTATGTCACTTAAGTCACGTGACCTTTTGAAGAGCTCTAAATAGTCACATGACATTAGATTCCCGCTCTGGAAGGTCTTCATGATCAGGGCAAGCAAATGATGTCATGTGACCATTTAGAGCTGTCCAAAAGATCACGTGACTTACCTGGTAGTATCTAAGCAAGGCAAATAGGTGTCTTTTTACCTTCAATGTTAGCATAAGCAGACACGCGAGTGTAGTTGACCAGTGCAGCCTGCTGCAGGCATTTTCGAATTTCATTTCTGAACTCATCAGCAGGGACTGGAGTAGAAATATCTTTCATCATCACCTGAGATCAAAACAGATTCATGGCAGATTATGTTATTATGATTATATTAGTTTATTGGTACATCCCTCCCCATGATAAAACTATGCAAATGAGTCTGTTGATAAGTCCAGAGTCCACACGCATGCCTTATTTGCAATCCAAACAAAACCTTTTGTATTTGTTGGTTGTTTGAACGTTTAATACTTAGATAAAAATACCTACCCGTTCAAACAAGGATAGAGTAGCTTTGAGTGCTCCTTCTGGACGACCAAATGGAAAACAATATCTAACAGTACAAATAGTAAAACACACAGTCAATCAAAACCTAAATTCTACAAGTTGTTGGATCATATGTGTTGTTATCTGCATCTGACCGTACCGGAAGTGTACTATCTGATTGGCCAAAAGGTTCCATAATCTGTCCTTTACTTCTTCAAACTTGTTCTTTTCTTCAATTGTGATTGTACCAACACCATCTGGTCTGCAATGAGTAAAAAATACTTGAATTAAAACGAATATATCAGACTGTTCCAAGAAGAGAAACCTTTTCTTATCGAAGTCCCCATTATTCTGGACTAGAATGTGATTGGTAAATGCACTATACTTGATGAAACTTAAATGACATTTATTTTGAAGCAATCAAAATGCAAGTAATGGTCACTGTCCACCTCCCCACCCCCTCCGGTTAGCTCAGTTGGCCATGGTTAGAGCATTAGTCTGTCCTGATTCGAGTCACATATCAGTTGAATTACATTCAAGTGTCAAACTTTATAAACAAAGTAGATATATTTATCTTTATTTTATGTAAGTAAAATTTGTAGAAGCCATTCTAGAGTTATGATACAATATGGTGTAAGAGATGTTGTATGATTCACAAAACAGATAGTATATACCTGTTTCCATGGACATGAGAAGCACAGAAGGCAAAGCTGTAATGAAGTAGTGTAGGATCAATCAYGATACCAGACTCTGCCCTGTCCAGTAGGTCACTCAGGTAACAGAGATGACGATGACACCCACGCACACCATAACGAGCACAGTACTCATCAAGGACAAAGACCTGTCCTGGTGAAAACCATCCCTGTGGGAGACAGGGAGAGTAACAAGATAATGTCAATAACAGCATAATGAGCATGGTATTCACAAAGAACAAACACTTGACCTGGTGAAAGCCATCCATGGAGGGGGAGGTAGGGGGAGGGGGAGGGGGAGAGGTAGAAGGGAGAGTAAGATACCAAAAGGTGCATGATTTTCTAGAACAGATATTACATAACACATATAATATTTATACAAGAACCTACCAGACAAGAGTAAGAATCATTCAAACGATGCTCCAGTGTTTTTCTCTGTAGTATTTCAAACAAGTAGTGATGATCAAAACAACTGGGTGTGGCTTGGATCAAATCTTCCAGACCATGCTTCTTAGCATGATCAGTAGCTGAAAACATAAAATGGCAATTGACAGTGGTTCCAAACAATGGTTCTTTTTCCATTAGATTCCAATTGGAATTTAAAGGGTGAGGAGGGAGGAAAACCGAAGACCCGGAGAACAACCCTAAATGCACAGGAGAGAACCAACAAGCAACTCTTCTCCCATCCAGGAATGAAACATGGGTCGCCTTGGGTGAGGCAAGCACTCTCACCGCTAYGCCACTTGTGCTTCCCAAAAAACAAAGCCACATTCAACACAAGCAGACAGGTTACCAAGAGAATTAGTAAATGACTGCACTGTTTGTCACTGTAGACAGTCTAGGCATGATTGAGCCCAAATTAAGTATACACCTAAAGAAATATATCTTGGATCAATTTAGAAGTGCTGAGAAGCACTCTGCCAGGCTTTATACTTCTCATAATACATCTCTCATGTTCCAATCCATGTATACTTTTTAATTGTCAATAAGCACACTATTGCCAATGAACTTGTTATGTACACATGTCATACCTCCTTGTAACTTGGACAGTGTGTTAGTTTTATTTTCCTTTGCGGTTGCTACCATAGATAGATTTGGAGCTACAGGTTTGTGTGACTGTCCTGTTGCCATGTAAAGCTTGTTAACCCACATTGTTCTTTCTAGTTCTTCTTCTGTTCCAAACACTATTTGATCACCTTCCTTGACTGCCTCAAAATAAAACCTTGCTCCCTTGTACTCATCATCTGAATTCAAATCAATAAAACAATCTCTAGAAGACATTGACTAGTAGTTCAATCGCACTTCTAAACCACAAAAACATAATACTTCAATGGTGGATCTAGAATGATTTCAAGTGGGGTGACTGTTACCTACAAAGGCATCTTATAGCACCCTTTTAGATTTTACCTTATCCTGTCCACCCTCTTGATCTGCCTTTGTACTTTGGAATGCATATTATTTTTTCATGCAATACATGGCTAGCTCACAGATTGGGTTTATGTTAGAGAAAGGGCTGTTTTGTCATCTACATTCTACTCTATCTATGGCATGGTAAGTTGTCAGTAAATGGTTTGCCAACCACTTAACGGCACCTTACCATCATATCATTTTGCTGACAATCAGATTTTCAAGATAGAGTAGAATGTAGATGTCAAATACTGCAGAACACAAAAACGAAACCCTTACATACCTAATGGTTTGTCAGAGTAATCCACAGTGTAGCTGTCAAGCTGCATCATGTCAGTTGGTTCTGATTTCTTCTCCACATAACTACACAATGCAAATGTGTACTGACTCACCTGAAGTTAGAACACAAACACCTGTTAATACATTACTGCCATATTCATAAACATGTGAACTCAGTAGCTGCTAGCTGTACTATGAAATTCTTTTCAAAAATATGAAATGTACCAACTGATTAGCTTTGATTGATGGCAGCAAAAAAAAAAAAAAAACGAATTTCAGTGTGCAGCTCGCTGCTACTGAGTTCACAAGTTTATGAAAATGGCAGAAAGAATATGGCTAAATTAAGTCTGTTTTCCCAATTCAGACCAAGTGTCGTTCCCTTTCTCTTGTTGGCCCTTAATACTCAAGAAGATATACATCAAAATGGGAAATCTTCTGGGATAAATTATATATTCAAGGGAATGACAAGTGGTCAGAAATGGAAAATCACTCAATGTGATTAAGTCTGTTCACATAAGACCACAAAGACTGTTAAGAGACTCCCTCTTTTCCCTCCAGACTCAGCCAAGTTGTTTTTCCCCTTGTCTTGGATGCGGTGGGATTGAAGAGTGAGTTTGAAGTGACATTATTGTCCCTGTTACCTCCATATCCAACTCAACTGAGTTTAAAGTAAGGGAGACATGGGTAGTTAACAGTTTAAATAATAACTACAGTATTAGTACCAAACAATTGAAAAGCAGAATATATTTGTCTATTGATACAAACCTGAACCAAGATGACAAATCTTCTTTTCCATTTCTTCCAAACTGATTTTCCATGGACAAACAAATAACTAGAAAAATCATGAAAAGAATATGACAAATTAAACCAATTAGGCATGAAAATTAATACTCTCAAACTCCTTAAATATGAGTGAAATTTTGTATTTAGTGAGAAAGAAAATTCTTAACTAGACTGATCACAGTCCAGAAACTGAAGGACTGAAAAGTTTAGGACCTACATCAAGTAACATTTCTTATTTGCGATGATCGATCACTAGTGACTTTGAAATTTTTGCTATTGTGAACAAAAGTTACTAGCAGAGTTTTGCTAGCAGGTTTAAAAGTTATTTTCATGCCCTTTAAACGATATACTAAAGTTTATCAATGACACAAACACCTGTTTGATGCTTGATGAAATAAAATGAATAAGAAAATAGAAGAAGAGAGTTTGATACCAACCCTGCCTTCTTCAGATTCAATGGTTTGTCCATCTTCACAGCAATTTTGAGTTCCAGTTTAGGTCCATTCCAGCCCTTGTGTGTGACCAGGTTATGCCACTCAAATGCGTCTGATCCACCAGGAATTGGTTTGATTGTAAGCTATCAAGTAAAAAATAACGAACACAATAAGCCATCCTAGCATGCAAATATTGTAATTGATTGATTGACTGCAACAATATTGTCATCAACTATCACTAGTGATGAGCTGGTGTGAGTACCATGATGGCAATAGTACAAGCATGTTCATTAACTGTTTACTGTGTTGATGCCACTCATACCAAATCTGTTAGAAGTATATTTTTAAGGGGACATTTTTGAGGAGTGTAGTATAGTGAAGTGTTAAAGAGATACCAACCCTTCCAAGTTCTTTATCATCCAGTGCAAGTACCCCAGAGCTTTTTGCATATAGCTTGATTTTGATGACAGGCCTTGGATGACATGTTGTAAAGTCTCCTTGAGTATCCCACCTGAAATACACAGGAAAGCATTGCTGTTGAAGCATAGTGCCTTTACTGACTAGACTTCCATAAAAAAAAACAGTTCTAAGTATCAAAGGGTTTTTAAAGCATTATGTCAAATTGGGGAAAACTATATGCAATGATTCATTACCACAACATTTGATATTTCAATACATCTCTCAACTCACACGTTGACTTTTGTGAAGGAAAAGCAAAACATTTGAAGGGGAAAAACCATGGAAAGGGAGAGAACAAAACATCTTAATATATTGCACTATATCCTTACCTTGTGGTCACGACAATCAAAAATATTAACATCAAAAATATTTCAATCCTCAAGAAAGGAAATTCTTTTGCTTTAACCCAAAATAGGAATTATCACAGAGGTCTGTTGATTATGTCTGCAAATGTGTAGTCAACAAGCAGCTAATTAACTAGCAAATCAACCCGTAGGACTAAAAGTGTCTGATGGTAATATTCTTACTAAGACCAACTTATCAATTATTTTGAATGTAAACAATGAAAAAAGGTCTTTAGCTGAACATACACAGGTTTGCCAGCCTCTGCTTCTCCTGTCTGTAGCTTTTCTCCTCCTTCAACCTCAAAAACAAACAACAGTACTATCAATAAATTAGACTCACTTAGTTACTCATGTCTTTCTCAGATGATGTCTTAATGGGAAGCACAAGTGGTATAGTGGTGAGAGAGCTCATCTTTCTCCTGTGATTTGAGGGTTTTCTACAGGTTCTCCAGTTTTCCTCTCTTTACAAAAATCATCTTCTAAATTCCAATTCATCATGGAACAAGGGCCTCAGGTTTGATAGTCACTGGCTATATATTAAGTGCTAGACTTGCAAAGGGACTTTTTATATATTTCTCTAATACTGTACTAATTGTGTAGTGTATAATAATCAATATACCTCCATTGTACAATATACTATTCTTTTCGCTGGTAATGGCTTAAGTCCTCTTGCCTCAGCAATAATGACCTTAAAGTACAAGGTTAATGTTGTTAGCATTTTGCATTTTTCACATGCATGTGGAATGCTGCGTACAATGAATGAAATGTGTCAATCAATACTTACCTCAATTGTAAATGACAAGACCACATCAACTTTGGATGGTGACAGATCTGTGTCTTCAGGAACATCAAGAAGAGAGATGGCGTTTGGAAGTCTACTGTAACAAAACACATTGAACTAATATTCATCTCATGATACCAATCGAAACACGTTGTAAAAATGATCTATACACAGTACCCCTAACTTAATTAGTCAACAATTTGCAAGTCAATGGACCCCTTGCACTGAGTCCCGAGAGGAATCATTCTGCTGGGGGATAAAACAATGGATTTTTTTGCATAAGAAAAGATGGCCTATTGTTTTGTCCCCCAGAACGTTTCATCTAGGAAATCAATGCAAGGGGTGTATAGTTAATTCAAAGCTCAGTTATGCACAAAATCTGCCATAGCAGGAGACAATGATAATAACAACAATTATAACAATATTAATAATATTTAATTCTATTTAGAGATGGTGACTTGTGACAGCTGCAACTTAGCATTGATAAACTTTTGGCTCCCTATATGTTAAACCTCTCTGAAAAAGAGAGAACCACTATTTGACATGTTCATCCAAGCCATGTCAAAGGCAGCACCTTTACTCAGATATTATAAGCCCCTAAATGTTGGTTGGGCTGGGCTTGAACCCACAACCTAATGGACAACAGTCCTTTTTCCAAGCAACTGGAAGACAGATTTAAATATTTGACAACCTGATCATTCTTTGTCTGTCATACTTACTTCTTCAGCTTGTACAAGGAGTATTTAGCATCAGAGGTACCCTTGGCAACTGGTAAACTTTCTAATGACAACATAAGCTTGCTGATATCAGATTGTTGTTCCTCAACAAACAGCCTCTCCATGTCCTTGTGAAGAAATGGTGGCAGGCGCTAAAGGGATACAAAACATGATATTTTAAATCTTATAACCAGTACATATATATAAAATGAAATAAAATGTTTTTTTCCCCATGAGATATCTGAAAATCATGAATCCTGATTGGCTGTTGGAGTGGGTGTTATTTTCTATATCTGATTGTGATCTGGTATATCCTGTGATTCTAGAATTGGGGAAAATAAATCAGCTGTGCCTGCAGCATTGAGAATGGACTTAGGCCTACAACCTTGGTTCATATATTCAAGGCCTCTGACACAGTTTTTTACTTTCCRGACCTCCTTGTCAGTAAGTTACCTATATATACTTTTATGTCAATGCCATCATCACCTTACTTAGAAAAACAGTAGAACAATAAATTTGGACCTAAATTTGTCATTATACTCCTCAAACATCTCAACCACAAATATTACAATTATTTACAAACCTTTCTTGATTCTCCAATGTTTTTCATTTTGTCTTGCAATTCTCTTCTAATACAAGCTGCTTGCTCGTCAGCATTATCAAGCTAGTAGGGAAAATCAATCAAAATTATACATTTGCATATTCATATTTAATGTTTTTTCCAAGTAATTTTTGCAGTGTGAAATGATTTAATGCATCTATTCAATAACAATAGCAAAATGAATGTTTTTTTTATCATTTGGATGGCCAAGAGCAGAATGCAGAGAGAACAGACTTTTCTTTTTTTCAACTTTTTTCTCTCATTCTTTTTATTTATTTTTTAATATTTTTATACTCTAGTGTAAATGAATAATAAGTCAAAATTTTATATTTACCAGTTAGTTAGTTTTCAATACAAAGAAAGAAACATGGGTCATAAAATCGATGCACCCATGCAAAATAAAAATGAAAAATTACGAAGGCGGAACTTAAATGGAGTGCTCCCAGATGGAGCACTAAAATTTGCATACACATTAGTTAGGGACTGTCGAAAAACCACAAGATTACTCTTTATTGATTAGATTAAGTCAATAAAATATCTATAATATTTTTAGATAGATGGCAGTAAATATAGTTTTTTTGTGAAGCGCGCGTTTAGGAACTTATTGATCATGATCAAAACATAACTAGTTTATCGATTAAATCATGCATGAAACGAAATATCTACAGGATCACGGATTTAAATACCCATATAAACAAAACTGAATGAATAAAGCGTATCAAAGCGATACTTTTTAAAGACAAATATTTTTTTCTATTTTTTACGTACCTGACAAGCGTTGTATAAGATTTGATGCTGGTATTTTTTGACTTCTAAAATAGTTTGAAACATCTCGTAAAGTTGTTCTTTGGATAAAATAAGCTCTGAGGCAGCAGATGCAGCAATCCTTGAAGTCCCCTTCTTAGGATCATCTTCTCCACGATAAATAGCATCAAACTTAGCCATCCAAGCACTCAATACAGTCTCTTTACTAATTCCATGCATCTCAGGCAATGATCGAACTCTTTTCTCGATTATACTCTTAAACACTTCGCGAAAATCATTAGATGAACAGCCACCACTTAAAACTAGCTTAAGAACTCTTTCACTGCAAATGAAGATATCAAAATAAGCACGAACAGCGTTAAGAAAGGCCTCGTCTGAAGCGATTTTAGTATTTCCCGCTAAGAAAGCACTGAAACGTTCCTTGATGGTCTGTAGTTGTATTTTACTAACTTTAGCTTGTCTTCTCGCCATGTCTGTTGGCTGTTTGGCATTAAATGGAAAAGAAATACAACGTAAAACAAACACATAGAGCTGTAGTATYTCTTTTCTTTCCTCTACCTCTGGGGTTTCTAATATTTCAGAAGGTATTGACGTTAGAGACGGAGAAGGGCTTGTGGAGATATTAGTATTGAGTCCTGATATCAAGGATCCTCGAGGAGTCGAGCTTATTGATCTTTGGTCTTCTTTACTGTTGAATCTGATCAACTCGCTATCCTCTYCATTATCTAGATCGTCGTCTGTATCATCATCAGTGTCAGAATGAAGCATTTTGTCTAGTTTTTTGGTGTTTTTCCTGGTTGTTTTTCTAATTACTTCTGCCTGTTCTTTTTAATGTGTCGAGGTGTAACGCTGACCTTCAGCATTGCTGTTAATAATGACCAGTGTACACTCGGTAACGCAAGGAATTTCAAAACCGCTTGTTTAATATAAAATTAAATTGTAGTAAGAAGAAACGAACAATGAGGAATAAAATGTTTTTTTCTTCTTTTTTTGGCAATTATTTTCTTGGTGTGTGTGTGTGTGTGTGGCTTTGAGGTATCCTGGAGAGAGGTGGGGGAGGACGCGAGAGACTGGGCACTGGCGGARTGCTTACCATTTCCCATTTACCCAGAAAAACTGGAAATTCCGGTTTGAAAGCAAATGGTATTTCATTCCAATCGGAAAGTTCCGGGAAACTCGGTCTTCCGGTCGTCTTCTGGTTGAGGTAATCCACTTTTCCCGCTCTTTCCGATTCTTCCGGTAGAAAAGTGTACCATCAGAATTCAAAGTTTTCCGCTCTTTTCTTACCATCGGCAAACGAATTTCCAACCGGATGGATTGGTTTAAATATTAAGCGCCCCTGTTTTCCACGGCGGACTTTTCTAAGCGCTTCATGTCCTTCGTGCCCGGTCTTTACTCATTCACTTTTTCTTTTCCCCAAAYAGGCTCTCATTTTTGTGTACAGACAGCGCAGCTGATGGACCAGCTCATATAACCCTAGTAATCATATCCCTGCGTGGTACTTAACTTGGGCCATGCCCAKTTACCAACATAAAACACAATGATCAATTAATGATCTTTTTATTCTATTCAACACTAACCAAGTAGCTTGCTACGCGTGTTGAGTGTCATGCAATCTGCTTTTTCTCTCCAAAAAGCATCAATGATATAAGAAGAGTATTGCGTGACAGCCCATATTAAGTGGCTYTGCGAGAGTAGCGTTGTCTTCATAGCGTTGCCCAATCATGAATGATTCTAGCTATTGAGCTTGGRTATCGTAAAATTATGAGATTATCAGGCAAAAATCAGTCAAAGAAAACCATGTCGTCGTGTAGCACTGCAGGACCAACGATTTCTATCTCAACTTGTATACGTCATTCCATAACAGGACTAGAAAACCCCAATGAGATCTTCTCAGTTAACTACCCATAATAGTTTGCGGCTTTGGGGGTAACCAGCGGAAAAAACCGCCCTTGTTATGCTAATGACTGATCGAACATTGTTGGAAAAAAAGACCTTTTTAATATCTAAATGTATTTTAACAGTAAAACCATATATAAGGAGCATCTAAATGAAAATAACGTTTGATATGCTGACAATTTTTGACCAGTTACCCCCAAAAAACAGAGTTGCATCATTGGTTATGTCAAAGTAGAGAATCGCAGATTAAAAAAAAAAAAGAAATGTCGAACAAATTTCGCAGCTTTTGGGAGAAGGGGTTAGCACCTGCCACCTACATTTRCTGGCCCGCATAGTCACCAAACTACTGGCAAAAATCGGCGATAATGTTTGGTTGTTAACCCACGTGATTTGTGACGTCACGCCATATCACGTGGTCAGATCACTCACATCACAAGGCYCACCGAAAGTAAGAAGCCTCGTTACTGACAGCACTTATTGTAATGACTATTGGCGGAAATCGCAGATGTTTTGTTCGTACGTCACGTGGAATGTGACGTCACTTCATGTCACGTGRTCAGATAACTGACAACACAAGTCTCACCCATCGTATCAAGTTTTGTTAGCATAGYATTCATTGTAATGAGTATGAAAATATCGGCAAAAATGTTTGATTCGTAAGTCACGTGATACGTAACGTCTCGCCATGTCACGTGGTCTAAAGATTGACAACACAAKTCTCATCAATGCTACCAAGTTTCGTTACCATAGCATGCTTCGTTCCCGAGTTATGGTCAAGGGGCCACCAGATGCTTTTGGGGCCAGGAGATGCGGGCCAGCAGGTAGGTGGCACGTGCTAACCTTACTTGGCTTTCCAGGCAGAACAAACAGCTTTAATAGGACAATCATGTACCGAGATACATTAACTGGACCTTACCCGATTAAAAGCTGCTTTCTTTCACTGAAAGAAATGTTTACATGTACTATTCTGGCTGCGTTACCAGCGTGGTTGGTCCTYGTAATGTAGTGGTTAACACATCGGACTAGAATACCGAAGACGTGGGTTCGAATCCTGCCAAGGGCATTTGATATTTTTCTCTTATTCTCTCTACTTCATTATATACACACCGAACGCATAATTTATTACTACTTTACATGTACTGGCTTACTAATRCCAATGCTTGCACGATTCCCTTATTCCATATAATTTTAAACGATGCTCGTGGTCAGTTCAAGCAATAGATTCCGGCTTGACACAGTCCTTGCATATGCGTTACTCATTATTATACAGCGATTATAGTCTTTTAGTAAAAATACGCAGGTGATTATAGAAAATCTCGCGCGCTGATTGGTCAAGAAACTCACAYTATCCCACGATAATCACCTCGAGCGAAAATCCAATAGGCGGCCAGCCGCTTTGTCGCTGTTACCTGGAAAAAATGCCTTTTATCTTCTTTTTTTTCTTTCTTCTTTTTTTAAAAGAATCACCTGTGTATACTAAAACAGCTATTTGCCTCAGGCTCAGGGATTATTGGGGAATATTTACCTCGCCGCTCGAAGACTCACGTCTAGGTAAATAATCCCCGATATTCACTTCGCCTTCGGCGAATAATTGTTAAATATTATCTTATATTTCGTTATTCATAGAGATGTTAAGTTTTCCTCAACAAGATATTCTCTGTTTGGGGAAACTGTAACGATTATATCAGGCAGACCTCTCGTGCACGTCCCGTTAGGGGAGGTGATAGTAATGTTTGTCACTAGCTCCTGTTGTAAGTTGGTAGTGCTAACGGGTATGTAACATGGAACAAATAATAAAACGATGGCTCCAAAGATCATGGAAAAGGAAGCCATGTAGAACACTGGTTTATAGGATGAGAGGTAATCACAAATCATTCCTGAGAAATAAAACGAGGAATAATGTGAGAGAAGGCGAAAGATGTCTTGTCGAGTAAGAATACTAAAAGATTCCGGCAAAAAAACATGATGATAATGATCAAACAAACTAACGGGGGGGGGGGGGGGGGGGGGGGGGGGGGGAATCTGAACGAGCACATGAAGAGGCGATGAGGATAAGGCAAGGCATTGGTGGCTGCGCAAACCAAAACACAAGGAGAGCGTAATTGGTAGCGTGCATGCTTTCCATGGGAATGAAACGACCAAAGAAGTGGCCGCCATGTTGGTTGACTTTCCAAAAAACACCAAGGCCAAATCGTTGATCACAAGTCAGCCAACATGACGGMTATGACGTCACGTGCACAAGGACAAAAGACAAGGCCGCCATGTTGATTGACATGATAAATTAAGGACACCACTACCAAATCTTTTGTCCAGTCAAACAAAATGGCGGCCATGTTGTCAGAAGAAAACTTACCAGCGGCCGGTGGGCCAAGCAGATACGTAAATGACTGACAAAAATACAATATACCCCAGGCAGGGATAATGTTGTTCAACCTGACTATGTCTAACGTGACAATAGACATTAATCCAATGTAAGAGCCATCAAGCAGTCCTAAAACCACTACATAAGCAATCAATGCTTCGTATGTCTCGGCTAARGTACATAGTGCTGATGCTACTCCAATAAGCAGCATACAACAACGATAAATATTCAGGTTTCGAACACGGCAAATATCAGATAGTTTTCCGAAGAGTATACGACCAATTGTCGATGAGATGCCGAGATACGAGATTAGCCAGCTASCTTTGGATCTTGGAATACCTATATCCTCGGAGTATTTGATCTGAAGAATTCGAAGAAAAAAGGTTATGAAAATTTAAACACAGACTCAGAGTTGCAAGATACAAGAATACAGTAGGGCAATTGTGTCGTGCCCAGTGAATGGTTTTTATGCATGTCTGGCGTTAGTCATCAAGTGTTGGTGTGTAAATAATGTATATAATGTATATAATGTATATAATGTATATAAAAAGTACAGATGACTCGGAAAAATATGAAAATCGAAACGACTGTTTGAAAATCAACAACAAATTTGTACACCAAGCAAAACTTAAAACACATCAAATTTACACAGAAATTGTTAAAATGAAATTCGTTCCACACAAAAATATTTAAGCGCAAGAATGGTACAAGATCAACCCTTAAATTGRAATGATATGTATGATAGAATATATAATACTTCAATGGATACGTATCTACGTATGTTTCAGTACAAAATATTAAATAATATCCTATTTTTGAATCGCGATTTGCACCGTTTCAAATTGATTGATTACTCCTCTTGTTCTTTCTGCTCTCTTGTACCGGAAACAATTGACCATCTCTTTGTGGAGTGTATTGAATCTAAAAACTTTTATTTTACCATCAGAGATTGGTTAAAACATTTCAATGTGCAGTCACCTGTCTCTAGTAAATTCAATATAATATTATAGGAGTAGACGATGTCACAATTAAGTTTATAATTTTGATATAAAAGATGTCACCAAGAGAAAATGAAACATATTCTCTTGATRTCACTGTATAAAGCGAGAGAAAAAGGTAGTATTCCATCACTGTCATTATTTTAAAATATTTTAAAACATTATGAAAATATAGAGAGCAAGATAGCGAAGTCAAAAAATAAGACACAAAWACATCTAAGAAAATGGGAAAAGATCATTGTGGCCTTGAAATAAGGTAAAAGACAAGATTTTTTCTTTTCTCTTTCTGTTTTATTTTTTTTTCTTCTTTTTCTATTACTGTCAATTTGGTTTCTGAATCTTGTGAATAATGTTTAATATCTCAAAAAGTAAAAGTGTTGTAAGTACAGATTTTAAAATTAAGGGRAAAAAACCAGCAAATTTATGTACTTGTAATTGATTTATTTGTTTAATGATTAATAAAAATGTTAAAAAAAAAGTGTTGCGGTGTTGATTTTTCAAGGTGTTGAGCKTTATAAGTAAAAAGTAGAGACCTTGAGGTACTACGACGGCACGATTTAAGGCATCTTAGTTATTTTTAAATTGAACATTCGCAACCGGCTTCTGCTAGCCTGTAGGCCTGAACAGAAGTGTTGARATCGTGATTGTAATTCTTGGTGGCCTCGTCGTCGCCTGCCGCCCTGCCGTCGTGTTTAGGTTGAAAAAATGGAGGTTGAACGGGCGTAAATATTGAAACCAATGGGAGAAAACAATTCTTATCTCACCACAACTGAGACACTAATGAAAAGGATGGAACTGAACGCGATACGACTGGTCTGATGGAGATAACGCATTRACAGCGTGCTCTGTGCGCTCATCGCCTACGCCTATAGTATTGCTGTATGTCAGTCTTAGAACAAGAAAGAAGAAAAAATAATAATAACAACAACTTACCACAAAAAAGTATGGAATAAAATACCCCAACCCKGAGGAAGACGTCGCGATAATCCAAAGAATAAATGCTTTGTTTCTGAGCACAGAAAAGTCAAAAAMGTTAAAATTGCAACATTTACGGTTCGAGATACACGAGCCTTGGCTTTGACGTCGAAGAGGTTCGCCTTCATCGCTTCTCTTTTTTATTGGTTTAAACACAAAACCAACTACCGCTAATAATACTCCTACAGAACCAAGAATTTTGAAGGTTRATTGCCATCCAAACCTTTCTAATAGATACTGAATRAAAGGAGCCAGAGACAAGGTCCCCACACTGCCWCCTGATGCTACAATCCCTGTAGCGAGAGATAAATGTTTGTCAAAATATTCCATGGTCACAATGAGAGCCATCGTACCGCACAGACTTGTACCAACTCCAAATAGAAGGCCGTATGTTAGATACAATACGAGTATATTAGGAGAAAAAGCTGAGATGAAGAGACCACAGCTGATGACAATCCCGCCTGCTACGGTAACTACACGTACACCATACCGCCCCGCTATATGACTGGTGATTGGACTGAACAGAAATAGAAGATTGATACTAATGGAGCCAACCCACGCTGGAATGGGATAAAAAAGAATGTATTTCAATGCCAGGGTCAAGAATAACCGTTATTCATACWTAATCATCGTGCATTGTTGGAACGTCATACGTAAGACCACAATAGAAATAAGGACTAGATTCAGCTCTCCCTCGCAAGGCAGAAGTTTCATCAGTTTTGCGCTTCAAAGTACCGTAATRACAAGAAAGCAAACAAGACAGCCTACTTCATCAATTAACTTGTCGTTTCTTAGTGTTAGTATTTTCGTAAAACGACTGGCTGCAACGGTCGATGACAGAGAGTATAAGCAAACAGTCCGTCATCAAATATTCATGACAAAAAGAATACTTTCTTCTCTTGTTGTACTAGACATAGGTAGTTTATCAAGTGAGAATCCTGCATATAACGTGATTGAGATCGGCTATGAAAATAAATAAAACACTGCATTTTATATTGAAACTATTGAACATCTTATAGATTATTTAAGTTTTAGAGGTAAATCTGAACCACTATAGCTAAATATTTAAATCAAAACAATTTTGCAGAGCAGAATTACATATTTGGAACTGATTCATTTGCAATATACCATTCAGTTTATTTACTAATAACTGTTTTTTAAGAACACAAATCTAGTTGTAGACAAGCTAGATCGATCTATGCTCAATAAATAATACGYAAGTATTCTTACTTTACAGTAAACAATAAGTTAAAATAGGGTACCGTGATATACCTGTTTCACCTTTACTGTCCTTAAAATGATCGAGCAAAGCACTTAGAAAAAAGCCAAAACAAGTATGCGTTCCAAATGTGAAAAACATCATCAAGAACGACCCCGCACAAACAACCCAGGCCCATCCTTTGTCTTTACTTCTACGTATTTCTTGTTCGTCTTCTCTTGGTTCAACACAGATGAACGACATACTTCCTCCAAGGACAGGGACAGGCACAGCGGCTAAGTGATCGAAGTTGACAGATGGTGAAGGCGTAATGCTTCGTCTAGCGTTCGACATTGCCATTATTCTGCTACACCGAAAAACGCACGGAGAGGAAGTGAGACAGAAGTCCACATCAACAACTCACTATTAAACTACATAACATTCTTCTACAAAATTTCGGCCTATTTCTATTCCATGGTCGTGTTTAGACGTAGAGAAGCTAAACGTTTYTCAAAGTGTTTCGTTTGAAACATTACGTTGTACTTGGCAGTTTAATCAGCACATTTTCCCGGGATTCCGTACAGAGTCACTAACGTTTTGTAGAATTGATAATTTTGATGTTATTTTGACGGCCGGGAAAGCGTAAATAAAATGAAAAAGAATCACATGAGTACGTGCTTCTATTCAGAACCATGTGAAACAAAAAGAAATTTGTGACRAAGAATTGACCAATAAGACCGCATCGTCCCTGTGTGACCTGTGTATCTGACCATTGTAATAGATTAAGAATCATCAATATTTTATAGTTAAACATAAGGTTGACGAATAGTTGTTCGAAGCCTCTAAGGGCCTTTTAATTACCTATATCTTATACTGTACTGGTTAGTGAAGTGTCGGGTCCTCTGGTAATCAATAATCACTTTATTAGTATACCAAATCTCCAAGAAGGAGATTTTGAAATTATTCTGTGGGCTCAAGTTCGAGGACACGTGACCCACGTTCTATGCAAACTACCAGCCCATCCATAGGTAGYCCAAAACTGACTTTGCAATCCTCTTCGCAAACCTACGTCACTGGATGATTATACAAAGTAAAGTATTACGCGACCCACACAACTAGTTAGCTATGAATGTATATTTTGATAGACGGAAGCCAAAAAACTCGGCGACTCAGTGGACTTTGTTGGTCCCATGATAACTCATGAATGCCATACGTTGATTTAAAAAAATGAAAAAATAAAAAAATCCAAGGTAAAGATAAATTTTATGGTATATTGGGCTACCTTAACCTGATTAAGCCTGGTAACCAGATGAGCCCACAGTCAGGGGTTCTAGAAGGAGCATTACGTAATGTTGTTAAATGATTATGAGGCAGAAAATTGTACTGCTGTTTTTGATTTGCTGCGTTGTAGGACCTTTCACTGGCATAAAACACATCATGGGTAGTGAAGGTAAGCCTTAGCTATACTTATGCTCACTGATTGACCTTCTCTCTTCTAATCTAACCATCTGAATCACCAACAGATCCGTTCCTTGTTGAATATTGAACTACTTGTGATGATGAGGGCATAATCAACAATATTCATCAGGAAATACGTAGTTACAGACAACTCTACGTGSACTCTAAACCTCTATTGTTAATTTRCCTTATGACCTCAAGCTATAAGACTATAAACCTCTATTGTTGATGTACCTTATGACCTCAAACTATAAKCTTCATTAACGTACATATTTGTACTGATGACTGGCATTTCCACCAACAGTGTGATTTAAATATCTTTAGTCGGCGCTGCTCAAGTGAACACCAAACAATCTCATGAATTAGTTTTGCTAAATTAGCCACTAAAATATCGAGTTTGGTAGCCCAAGGGATTATATGTTTATTTTACAGCCTATATATGGCATTAGATGTTTGCTTTATTACGACAAAAAGTGACAAAAAGTAAATGAAGATTTGACCGTGACCTTAATATCGTGACTGACTGTAAATCTGTCGTTAAGAATTTATGTACAAGATTCAGGACAACCGGTCTTGGTAATAGTCCTCTATTCATTGATAAAACATCAAAATGTGGAGAGTCTTTCCACCAGATCTTCCTCCTAATGTCAAACCGTCATACTTCAAAAAAAGTCGAGGTAAAAAGTCCCACGTTCTGAGGGAATGGATTTTTAAGAGGGATATTTGTTATTTACTGACAGAAGCTTAATATTCAACGTTAYTATATCCCGATAGTCTTGTATTCAACAGCCATAACATGCTACCATTCATACCAACCTACCCATATACCAAGCTATATTCTTTTATAAATATTTATTTTTCATAAAGTTATTTAATAACTGTAGCTAACTTAACAGACTGACAACTAACTTTTTCCCTTTAGCTATTTTTCATAAAGTTATTTAATAACTGTAGCTAACTTAACAGACTGACAACTAACTTTTTCCCTTTAGCTGAACTGGTACAGTAAAATGGTCCCAATACATATTCCTAAATAAAAGTTTTAATGTTGAGAAAGAAATCTATATTTCATGACTTTCRCTGATACAACAAAGCAATATTTCTTGGGCTAGAAACCACAGCAGTGTGAATGAAGATGTTAAAATGATTTTTTTATTTCAATATTTTTAGTAGTCAAAGAAGAATTTCCAGCTAAATKTAGTAAAGAGGAGTTAAGATCACGACTTACGCCAGAGCAGTACCATGTAACTCAAGAAAGAGGCACCGAAAGGTATCRTATTTGTATTTAAACTAAGTCATACTAGATAGCATCATCCCTGATTATATGCTTCAATAAAGATGGTGGGTTAATGAAGTCATCAAATCTTAACTGTTGTAGACAGATATATGATAAATAGGTAAAATGAAAAGAAACTTTTGTAACTATGTTCGTAAGAAATATAAAATAACGAAGGTGAAGGGTATATTGGAGTTCTCCCTTTGTTTTGTAGAGCATTTACTGGTACATATCATGACAAGAAAGAACCTGGTATATATCGATGTGTAGTATGTAGCAAGGAACTATTTAATGCCTCAACCAAATATAATTCTGGTAGTGGTTGGCCATCATTCTATGATGTCATAGATGAAGCAAATGTTAAAAAGATTGTAGACACATCACATGGGATGCATAGAGTTGAAGTTGTTTGTGCTCATGTAAGTATGTTTTTTGTCCACTCACAGGAGCTCGTACTGKCTCAATATAATGGGAACTTGAGAAGTGTGTATTATATACATATATACAGCCATTTGCAAAAATTATGGCCRTTTCAAATATACATACAAGTATAACAAAAGTATAACACGGCGGATATCTTTTTTGATATTTTTTTCAGAAAGCCCTAGTGATAGACAACTCAAAAAAAATATTGTGGATGATATTTCATAATTTTTGATCACATAATATTGATAGTAATATCAATATACACAGAAGACGAAACACACAAGRGACAGTTGTTTATCACTCATTGGCTGTATTTTAGGGAAGTACGGGTGGCATAGCAATGTGTGAGCGCTCGCCTCTCATCAATGCGATCGGGTTCAAATCCTGCCAGGCTCGTTGTCGTATGTGAGTAGAGTTCCTTGCTGGTTCTCTCCTGAGCTTACAAGGGTTTTTCTCCAGGTTTGCTGATTTTCCTACCTTCACGAAAATCAATTCCTAAATTCTAATTTGATCATGGAATTCAAACGAGGGCCATGGGTTTGTTAGCTGCTGGCTGTTAACTGCTACCCTCGTAAAAAGGAAGTTTTTTTCCTACAAAGCTGTCTGTTGTGTATTCGATATGTAATCTGGAATTGAACCGGGGTCACATTGGTGAGAGGTTGTCCATTGCTGTTCTGCAAATTGCAAAGTGAATGTTGCCCATATTAGCTCTTCATGTGAAAAGAGTTGCTTCATTTTATTCACCAAAAATGTTGTGTGCAGAGGAGTAATATGCATGAGCATCATTTGTTCTGCACTCTTACAATGCAACAATATTGCATGTCAACAAGTTGCATCATACCCTGGGCATTATTTTCTCTCTCTCATAGTTAGGCTTCAAGTTTGAAATATTTATTGCTTCAAAGTCRATAATTTTCAATAGTTTCTGTCCAGTAAAATGTTTATTCACAATTTCAACAGAATCAGAGTTAGAATCAGCAGCAGCAATGCGTGCAATTGCAAGTGAAAGTCACTCGTCATAGGCATAAGCACAAGCCAAGGAAAAGGAAACTGTTCAATCCTTCCAATTCTGCTTTTTATGTGCTTCCCACTTGGCTTGATTAGCTCTCGTTACATCAAGTTGTCAAACCTGTTTATTGAACAGTTATACATTGRTTCATTTTCAGTGTGGTGCTCATCTGGGACATGTATTTGATGATGGCCCTAAACCTACTGGTTTACGTTATTGTATCAACTCTGCTTCAGTAGATTTCAAAGCTGGAGGTAAGGTTTTGTTTGTATTCTATTTCTCTGTATACAGTGTCTGGAAGGGTATTTGCAGGAGCTGGGAAACAGATTAAATATAGTGCTGTATCCTGGAATTAACTAGAAAAACTCTTGCATGATTCTGGATATTGCAGGGACCGTAAAGCATATTTTGTATTGGCCCCCCCTCGAAATTTTGAAATCACAACTCTTGGAAATGTGATTTCCAGCACTTTGAGGGACATTTTTTGCACTAAATTTATGGAAACATTGTGCAAAATTTAAAATGGCAGCAAAAATTATTGGGGGGGGGGGATGCATGTGCCATTTCCATTTTTGATCTTCTGGAAAATTGTGAAAACATTAATAAAATAAAGATTAAGATGCCTCTGAATGTGTTGAATGTGGACATAATATCATGGGACGTGGAACTTCAGGAAAAAATAGCACTCAAAAGTTCTTATCATAAATATTTTTCTTTTTTCAGAAAAAGGCAAGAAAAGTGAATTGTAAAGAAACCTATATTTGTATCCAAAGAACATGACATCATACAATGGCTACAATACAGAGTGCWGTAGTACAATAATTAATTTGTTCTAATTCAGGGAGTTTCCCATGTAAAAACAAACAGGGAGTGTGGGAGGGACSAGTGGAAATGATAAAAACAGTGCAAGCCTTATTTAAATGTCACAATAAAATTTTTTYCGTCATTTGCAAATAAATTGTACAATCATTTAGCAAAATAAATACCATGGAAATAAGAAAAAAAGGGGTGTGGGGAATGGGATATTATACAGCCAGGAGGTTCCAGACAGGGAAAAACCATGTCCAAGGTCTTGAATATGTGAACTGGGATCATTACAGCTATTGTCATAAACATGCGACCTCGGTGCTCCGAGTTGCACGCTGAAATTTGGTTTTTCACTGCCTTCAATCAAACCTAATCAGTCGGTACCTTTCATATTTTTGACTGGCGGCAGGAAAAAACAAATTTCAGTGTACAACTCAGAGCACCGAGGTTGCATGTTTATGAAAATAGCTGTAAGACAGTAAACAAGTGTAGTCTCAAACTTACCCCCCCCCCCAGCTTTTTAGGCTGAAAAAACTACCCACTCCAATAGCCAATCAGAACGGACAATTTCTTAGGATGCCATGGTGMACAACGTTTTATGTWGGCAGCAAAACTATCAAGCATTACCCTTTACTTTGATTTCAAGATGTCCAACAATAATTCCCTTCAAGTATTCTCRGATTAAATTCTGAGATTCTATGCATTAAATTTGAAGGTATTTGGGGAGCAAGTCTTGCTTTCATTTAATGCCAAACAAAGAGGGTCTTCAAAGAGGGTCCCAAAGGGATAAATAAATAGCTGGAAATTTGCCTTGTTTGGGCTGGGAAATGGGATTTTACGCACTGGTACACAATGGGAATGGGATTCACAGAAAAAGGGAATGGGATTGAGATTAGAGCAAAACATAGGCTGTGACTATGGGATTTGGTCAAAATGTGGGCTTGTAAATGGGATTAGGGCACCCTTTCAGTACCTTGAAAACTTTGGGCATGTTTTAAAGTTTTGAACAATGATGTATGAAGGGGTAAACCTTCCCCCTCCCTCCCTCCCTCCGTAAAGAGCACTGTAAGGTTAATGGGATATCAAGTGGTCAAACATTTCCCTTGTCGTAGCACCCCCATTTTCAAGGGCATTGATTTGTTGATTGTAATGATGTAAGTAACGAAAAATCTTTGAGTGTTTGGGCAAAGGGACACAGAGACAGTCTTCTCAACAAAAAGTCAAGAAATATAAAATCTTCCTGATAAAGTTTATTCCGATAGGAATAAGAATATATTGTGGCTACAATGTCAACACATGTTCCCTAGGGAACAAAATACAATCTAGGCGATCAGTAACTTGGTAATTGATTACATAAACTGTTGCAATTAAACATATATCATGCTGATACAACTTACTGTTAGTTTAGTTATTAGGGCACAGAAAAGCCCCCACAAAGTCTGACTGAAATTACAGTAAATATTATTAAAAAACTAGAAAACATCTCACTTAGTAAGAAGACTTTCAARACTAGATATACTATCTTTATTCTGGATTGAAGGTACATTATGGCATATAATACTGAACCCTAATCCATATGGAGCAACATCAATATGACAGCAGCCCATATCCCATAATGTTCCACTCATATAACCCTATCCTATAATGTTCCATAGAGATAAAGACTCTCTCATAATGYCCCATTGAGATGAATCCTATCCCATAATGTTGCATTATGTCTAACAGAACATTAAAAAGATGGTTAAACCTCATGTAAACCTGACTATAGGTCTAAAGTATATCTGCATAAGGATATATATATGTATCTTTGATCATAGCAGACGTTTTTAGTCTCATCCATTCCCTCATGGTCCATTCTATCCGAAATGAAGAAGACTAAAATCAGCTGCTAAGGAGACTAGTGTTTCATTGATGAACGGAAAAACCATTACAGAACCAAAAGTATGAATAAAAGTTGATGATGTTAGACGAATTGTGCAGTTTTCTTCAAGCTTTAAACTCGTTAATATACTTGCTACAACTTGTAGTAGAAAAGGCTTAGAGAAGTTTTGTTATTTTGATAAAAGTAAAAGAAATACGCGATCGTTTCAAAGATCAGTGCACTGCTGCACCGCCAACCATAAAATTTTAAAGTCAGGACACACTGCAAAGGAACGTGACAGGGTTAAAATGCTGTCATATCCATTGTTTTGAAAGAATTCTGACGTCATGATACGGGTCGTCGGAACTCAAACTGGCTTATTAGACTCCCGCTTCAAGTAGCAACATTAAAATCAAGTTTCACTTGGCCGTGAGTAATRTTCCTGCGCCTTGTTGCCTAAAGTTAACTGACTTTTAAGAACGGTAGTAAACCAGAAAAAAATCGTTAAAGATGAGATGCAAAAGAGGTGATGATAGAGACTTTTACAATTGTAAATGTCAATCAAACAAATTGTTCTCATGTACCTTTACATACTTTAGATACTGTTGTCTCCATCAGCGAATAGCAATGAAAACAGTAGTAAGGTAATAAAGTTTTTTTTTTAAATGTCTCGTTTTTTCTAGTTCTATTGAATACGTTTTTCAGTTCTTCATTATAAACACAACAATGAAAATGGTAGAACACAAAGTACTTTGTACAGTTGCATCTGTACTTAGCTAAAAAATAATCTGAAAAGTTATTTGTAACTTATATACATATATATACACAAAAACACGCACCACATACATACATACATACTTATTAGCATGTTATACTCTATTCTTCAGTATTAACTGTTGACTCACAATGATAGATAAAAACGATTATACGGTGTATTAATCCATTAAAACCAACGTTAAAATGTTATATTATACAATATGTTCGTTATCTTTACTTCTGTCCTTGTGTCTTGAACCATGTAGCATCGATTCCTATCTAGCACCATCTCATAGATGACCGTATTGTATATCTTTCTGCATGTCCTAGAAATCCATTTCCATTCCTCTGTCACTGATTTCTTTCTACTTTAATCAAATAGCTGTACTCACAATCGTCAAGTCGTCACAGATCAAGCTATAGARTCGGACCAGTTTAGTCAAAGCTATCAACAGAGTCGGAGAACATCTCATCAGGTGGTACTGGATCATGGGTGATCATCGATTCAGATTCGGATTGAGCTACCATGGTAGGCAATCCTACTCCGCCTTGCGACTCCTAGAGGAAAAAATACAAGTTTGGGTTTAGCGGGTCAGCGTCACGGGTCACCTCTGTATTGATCTACAAGTCAGGGCA